GGAAATACAAGCCTGCACTTTAAAGGAGGGGTTTGGGATATTGGCAGTTTGGAGGGAAGGTTGTGTATTTTCATACGTTTTGCTTCTAAAATGTTGTATTCGAGCACCTCTGAAAAAAAAGTGTAATGTGTGAGTGTGGTGAAAATGTTGAAATATGATGAAAGTTTTTTTCTTTTAGGGGGTTTTTTTTTTTTTGGGCACCCGCCTTGGTGGGAGACGGCCGATTGTTGAAAAAAAAAAAATAATTATATATTTTAATGTTGATGAAGATAAAAGAAAGAAAGCTAGGAAAGTATGGATTTGTCCGTTAAAAAAAAGAGTAGGGAGTTGTAAGGGGAGGGGGAGGTAATAGGTAGAGGCAAAATATTTTGAGAAAACTTTTTTAAATGTTGAGGAAAAAAAGGGGGGTTTAAAATTTTTGCACTGGTCGGAGAGGGTTACCTCTTTTTTGGAGTGAAGAAAAGCAGAATGAAATGGGGGGGGTACTGGGCATTACGTAATGAAAGGGGGTTAAAGCAGCTGGAACGATGGGGTCATGAGAAATGTTTAAAAACAGGGGGGTATAGTGTTGGAGTGGTTGGTACTTTTGTTTTTTAAAATATGAAAGAGGGGAAGGTACCAAGGGTTTGGGGGGGAGAGCATGTATAACCCTTTATTAAAGGGGAAAGGGGACAAAAGGACTATACAAAAATTTTAGAGGGTAAGTTTATTGAGTAACCAGGAAAAAGTGTATGGTAGGGTTTTTAATTGAAAGAATTTGAGGGGAAAACAGAATGTGGATTGCGGGAAAAGGAGGTTTCAGGTTGGTGGGGATGTGTAGATCAAGGGTTTCATTGAACAATAGGGGGAGTTTTTAAAAAAAGGTGGGAAGTTTTTATTGCATTTTGGTGGGGGGACGACCCCCTGTTGAAAAAAAAAAAAAAAAAAAAATGATAAAGTGGGTAGGGGGGCAAAGTGGGGATGTTGCAAATACATGTATTGGAATAGGTGGTAAGTACTAAATGCTTAAAGAGTTTTTTGAGGATAGTGAGGCTAGGTTAGGGTGCGTAGAAGAGAGGGAGATTTTCCCGGGAAAATAGGGCTTAGACAGGGATGTGTAAAGTCACCAGGGTTGTTTATAATTTTTAGATGGGGGTTTTAAAAGAGTAAATGAGGTGTTTGGGAAGGGGGGGGATTAAATTATGGGGAATCAAATTTCAAATGGGAATTAACACAGTTACTTTTTGCTGATGATATGTGCTTATGGAGATTCTAAAGAAAAAATGCAAAGGGTTTGGAGAGTTTGGGAATGTGTGTAAAGGTAAAAGTTGAATGTGAACAGAGAAAAGAGTAAGGTGAGAGGGTATCAAATTTTAGATAAAAAAAATTGGAATCAAATTTGGGGGAGGGTAGGAAAAAGTAAATGTTTTTAGATACTTGGGGTTGAGTGTCGGCGGATGGGTTTATAAGGATGAGTTTTAAACATGAACTGAGAGGGAAAAAAAGGTGAGTGGGGATTTTAGGTATATGTGGAGTCAAAAAAAAAGTTATCTATGGAGGTAAAAAAGGGAATGATGAAAGTAAGTAGTACAACACTCTTATGGGTGTGAAGCTTTTGGGGGTAAATGCAGCAGCGGGAGGAGTGGAGGGAGTGGAGATGTCCCGTCTAAGGGCAGTGTGTGGTGTAAATATTTGAAAAATTCGGGGTGTGGAAAATTTGGAAAAAAGGTGTGGGGTTAAAAAAAGTATTGTCAGAGGGCGGGAAAAGGGGTTTTTGGGTGGTTTGGTCATTTGAGAGAATGGCCCAAATAGAAGACATGGGGAAAACATTAAATCTTAGGGGAAAAGGGAAAGGGGAGGGAGGGGTCGTCCCCGAAAGGGGTTGGGGGAGAGGGGGTAAAGGGGGTTTTTGGGGGAAGGGCTTGGACTTCCAGCAAGCGTGCATGAGGGGGTTGAAAGTGAATGGAGACGAAGGAATTGGACCTGACGATCTGTTTGGGGGTGACGGGTAAATTTAGTGAAAGGGGTTCAGGGGGGAAAAAGGTATTTTCTTATAGCGACTTGAGTCCGGAATGGGAAGTACCATGCCCGCACTTTAAAGGGGGGGTTTGGGTATTGGGAGTTTGGGGGATTGTTGGTATCTTTTTTAACGTTTTTGCTTCCCAAAATGTTGTTTTTGAGACCTTTGCAAAAGCTGTAATATGTGGTTGGTTTAAGGTTGAATGATGTGAAAGATTTCTTTTTTGGGGGTTTTTTACTTTTTTTGGGTACCCCGCCTCGGGTGGGAGACGACCCCAATTTTTGGAAAAAAAAAAAAATAAAAATTTAAATATTATATATATATATAATATTATATATATATATTTTTATAAATTTTTAAATATATATAAATAAATATATATATATAATAAATAAATTTATTATTATATATTTTATATATAATAACCACACACCAACCCAGGGAGTAGGTTTGGGAAACAGCAACCCCCCAGGGGGGGTACACCCTCCCGAAGGAGGGTTAAAACGAAAACCTGTAATTTTTTTTACATGATGGGAGAATTCTGGGGTCTTTTGTTTTTCTTAAAAATGCAAGATTCAGGTTGTCTTGCAACTTCTACTTGCACTTAGGTCCACTACACATAATGTCAAGCATAATAAACACCCCCTCGGGTACTTCTATTTTCTTTTTTGTTCTTTTTCTGTTTATTTTCCCCCTTATCTCCTGGGGAAATGGAACAAAATTCTTCCCCCGTAAGCCATGCGGTTGTAAGAGGCGACTAAAATGCCCGGGGCAAGGTAGTACCCCTTCTCCCCTTAAATTACAAATTTAAAAAAGAAATTTGTTTTCTTTTTGGGCCACCCTGCCTTTGTGGGGCATGGCCGGGGTGTTGAAAGAAAGAAAGATATACGTTTTTAAAATTGTATTTTTTTTTTTTTTTTTAACAAGTCGGTGTTCCCACCGAGGCCCCGGGTGACCCAAAAAAAAAAAAAGAAAATCCCCAAAAAAAAAATACTTCATCTCATTCAACACTTTACCCCCCTCCAATTATCACTGCTTTTGAGAGGTGCTCGAAACAACGTTTAGAAGCATATACGTATAGAGATACACAACTATCCCTCCCCAAAACCCCCAAAAAACCCCAAAACCCCCCCCCTTTTTAAAGGGGCAGGATTGTACTTCCCTTTCCAGGATCAAGTCCGACTATATGAAATAAGGTTTCCCTGAATCCCTTCACTAAATTTTACCCCGCTCACCTCCAACAGATCGCAGGTCCCAAAGGGATCATTGTCTCCCCTTCACTCCATCAAATGCTATGCACGTTGCTGGAATCCGCCCCTCACCCAAAACCTCCCTTTCCCCCCCTTTTCCCCCCTTTCGGGACGACCCCCACCCCCCTTTCCCTTCCCCCATGATTTTTATGCTTTCCATGCATTCTACTTTTTATCCTTCCTCTAAATACCAAACCACCCCAACAACCCCCCTTCTGCCCTCGACAAAAGCTTTTATTTTAAATCCACACCTTCTCAATTTCCAACTCCGAATTTTTTGCCCCTTATATTTTCACCACACTTCCCTTTTGCGGATCTCCCCGCCTCAACCCTCTCCCGCTGCTGCATTTACCACCCCAAACTTCACACCATAAAATGTTGGTACTACATACTTTCATACATTCCCTTTTTTGCCTCCCTAATAACGTTTTTTGACTCCACTATCCTCAACGCCACTCACCCCTTTTTTTCCCCCATCAATTCCTGTTTAACCTCATCCCTTATAAATCCCTCCCCGACACGTCAAATCCCAAGTATCTGAAAACATTTACTTCTTCCATACTCCTCTCCCCCAATTTGTATCCCAATTTTTTTTTATCTAAATATTTGATCCCTCATACCCTTTTCCCTTTTTTATGTTCACTTTTAACTTTACCTTTACACACATTTTTCAAATATCCTAACCTTTGCAATTTTTCTTTGAAATTCCCCTAACACGAAACAGCAAAAAATAAATGTGTCATTCCCATTTTGAATTTGATTCCCCATAATTTTATCCCCCCCTCTCCCCAACACCCCGATTTACTTCTTTTTCAACCCCCTCTATAATATATTAAACAACCCTGGTGAATTACACATCCCTGTTAAGACCTACTTTTTTCCGGGGGGAAATATTTCCCTCTTTTTTACACACCCTAACCTGAGCCTCACTTCCTCATAAAAAGCTCTTTTTCAGATTTTTAACTTCCACCCTATTCCATATCGAACACTGCCACATTGCCTCTACCCCTTATCATATGCCTTTTCTAAATCCAAAATGCAATAAAATTCCCTACCTTTATCTAAATACTGTTAATATTGCTTCAATGTAAACATTTTCTACATCCCCTACCCCCTCTGAAACTCCTTGTTGTCCCCAATTTAATTCTGTCTTACTTAATTCTTTAATTATAACCCTCTATACTTTTCCTGGGTATACTCAGTAAACTTTTCCTCTATAATTTTTACAATCTCTTTTGTCCCCTTTCCCTTTATATAAAGGGACTATACATGCTCTCCGCCAATCCCTAGGTACCTTCCCCTCTTTCATACATTTATTAAACAAAAGACCAACCACTCCAACACTATATCCCCCCCTGTATTATAGAAATATAAACATTTTTCGCTATACCTGTTTTTGGGTTGCATCAAAAGGCCCCCCATAGATTCCCATTTTATGTATAAATTCCCTTTTGCAACTGAGCTTCCCTTTTTTTCTTTAAGTGTTCTTTTTCTGCAAAAAAATTGTGCCCACATTCACATGCGTATTTGCGACTAGGAACTATCGCACTACATTTTGGACACCTTTTTTTAATTGCCTTGAAGACTGTAAGAAACATTATAATAAAATCATTGGGAAAAGAAAAATTTGAAATTAATATGAGTGATACATAATCTAATGTACAAAAGGGCTATTAAAAGAGAAGTAACCTCTTAAAAAGGGGAAAAAATAATTTTATTTGGGATATAACTAAAGAAAAAGAATGGGTAGACTATGAGGCTGGAACAGCAAATAATGAGAATAGAATTTAAATAAAAAATACAATAAATAAAATGCTAGAAGCTGAAATAGCTAAAACAAGTAAAACAAGACCATGCTAAAAAAACGTAGCAACCCGTATCCAAATATTATTTTTTGAAAATTTTTCTGTTTACTATGGGAAAGGGGAAAAAACTTTTAAATACTGGGGACCCGGACTAAACACTTACGTAGATAAACGAAAAGAAATTGGTACTGTATGTAGACGCCCGTCACAGAATCTTTGAAGCCTGATAGAAGAGGAAAACAACAGAAAAACCTGGGCCAGGCTGCAAGGGCAGAAAAACCTGGTGAAGCCAGTCAAAGGTACTTCACACATAAACCTAGAGTTTCTGAATCATCATATTAACAAAAACCTTGCACTAATAAAAGTCAATGGCCTAACATTCATTCTGCAATCTGTTAAACCATTTGTAGGGCTCCTTAATAAAGCTTAGCTTATCTTACAATTTATTACAAATATGGAGGTTGTACAAAATATCCAAAATGCTAACCTGAAGTAGAAGGCATTGAATTTTCTTCCAAAGATTTCCTGTTGCTGCCCAGTCCTGTAAATAAAAAAATGTAAAAAAAATTTATTTATTTATTTATTTAGTAATTTGAGCATGCATACAGAGGTACAAAAAAATACAGGTAAGAGCAGCATGCCAAAGCCACTTGTATGCATAGCATTACAGGCTGGCTTAAAATTAACTTAAGATTAACTAAGCAATGATGTAATCAGTGATAAAACATTATTGTAAACAGATAACAATAAAGCACAAATGAGTATTACAAAGACAGGTCATATGGTTGCATGCATTGCTGTACATTCAGTCGAATGGAGTATTCTGTTAGGTAGTGTATTTAAAGAAATAACAAAGTTAGATTGGGTCTTAGGTTTAACATTTATGAGGAGGGGTTTGGGATATTGGCAGTTTGGAGGGATATGTTGTGTATCTTTATACGTATATGCTTCTAAACTGTTGTATTCTGAGCACCTCTGCAAAAGCAGTGATAATGTGTGAGTGTGGTGAAAGTGTTGAATGATGATGAAAGTATTTTCTTTTTTGGGATTTTCTTTCTTTTTTGGGTCACCCTGCCTCAGTGGGAGACGGCCGACTTGTTGAAAAAAAAAAAAAAATTGTGAGAAACATTTAAGATATACAATTTATAAGGTTCAGTTATTCAGTATTTATTTGGTTTTGGGTGAGTAAGTGATCTTTGAGAAGAGACTTGAATTTATAAACAGGTAGTGTTTCTTTTAGATTTACAGGTAATGAATTCCAGATTTTAGGGCCTTTTATGTGCATTGAGTTTTTGCATAGCGTGAGATGGACATGAGGAACATCAAAGAGTGATCTGTGCCTTGTGTTATGGTCATGTGTTCTGTTGAGGTTGGCAAGGAGATGTTTGAGGGGAGGGTTAATATCAGAGTTAAGTGTTCTATGTATGTAATAGGTGCAGTAATAAGTATGGATGTTTTGTATGGTGAGTAGGTTTAGTGTTTTGAGTATTGGTGGAGTGTGCTGCCTGTAGTGGGAATTTGTTATCATTCTGACTGCAGCCTTTTGTTGGATAATTAGTGGTCTGAGATGATTAATTGTTGTTGAGCCCCATGCACAAATTCCATAGGTGAGATAGGGGTAAATAAGAGAGTGATATAGGGCCAGGAGGGCTGACTGTGGAACATAGTACCGTATCTTCGATAGTATGCCTACAGTCTTGGAAATTTTCTTAGAAATTTGTTGTATATGTGTATGAAATTTGAGTCTATTATCAAGGTGGATTCCTAAGAATTTTCCCTCTGTTAGCTTTGTGATAGGTGATCCATTTATCATTATGTTAAGAGGGACATCTGTAGCTCTGTTACCAAACTGAATGAAGTAAGTTTTGTCAATGTTTAGTGTAAGTTTGTTAGTCCTCATCCAGATAGACATTTTCTGTAATTCAGTATTTACAGTATTGGCTAGCGTGACTGGGCTCGGGTGAGAGAAGACGTATGTAGTGTCATCTGCAAATAGTGTGGGTTTGAGTAATTGCGAAGCGTTTGGTAGGTCATTTCTGTATAGGAGAAAGAGAAGAGGGCCAAGGACACTTCCCTGTGGGACACCAACTGTAATAGGTTGTGCGGAAGAGTTTGCCCCATTTGCGTACACATATTGGCTTCTGTTGCTGAGGTATGACTTGAGGTAGTTGAGGGAGTGCCCTCTTATACCATAGTGTGACAATTTTATGTGGAGCAAGTCATGGTCAGCTGTATCAAAAGCTTTACGTAAGTCAATGAAGATCCCCAGTGGGACTTCTTTTTTCTCTATTGCAGTGTATATATGTTCTAGCATGTGTATAATAGCATCATTAGTACTTTTATTAGGCCTGAATCCAAATTGGCAGGGGCTGAGTATGTTTTGGGAGATGAGGTAGGAGTAGATTCGTTTATGAATTAATTTTTCGAAGATTTTTGAGAGAGGGTGTAAATTGGATATTGGCCTATAGTTATTCAACTCTGTTTGGTCTCCTCCTTTATGGATCGGGGTGACCCTTGCTATTTTGAGAACTGTAGGGAAGGTGGAGAATTCAGTGGATTTGTTAAAGAGTGTTGCAATGATTGGTGATAGCACTTGTGACACTTTTTTGTATATAAAGGGTGGTAAGGTATTTAAATCTCCTGCCTTGTTTTTTAGTGCGTTGATAATAAGGGAGACTTCGTATGGGTTAGTCGGAGCTAAGAACAGTGTGTTCGGGTAGTTGCCAGTGAGGTAGTCATTTGGTGGGGTATCTGAGCTTGAGATTTTATTGGCAAGGTTTTGTCCTATAGTGGAGAAGAAATCATTGAGTCTGTTTGCTGTTTCTGTTGGTGGGAGTTGGGGTTCATCTGATTTTGCTAATTTTATTTCGCTATTTCGTGATATCTTTTTTGTTCCCAGAATTTCTGATAGGGTCTTCCAGGTCTTTTTTATATCACCTCGTAAGTTGGATAATCTGTTCTCTTAATACAGTTTTTTTGCCCTTCTTATCAGGCTGGTTAGGACTGACGAGTAACGTTTTGTTTGGTCTCTGGTTATGTGACCCATTCTGTACTGTTTTTCATATTGGTGCTTTGTATTTATGGATTTGAGAATGCTGGGTGTTAGCCAGGGACTGTTCAGTCTCTTAGCTGTCATCTGTTTAGTTTTTTTAGGGCAGTGCTTGTTATAGAGGTATTGGGTCTTTTTTAGAAAATTATTAAAACATTCGTCAATATCTGTATAGATTTCTAGCTCAGTGTGCCAGTCAATGTTTGTTACTGCTGTTGTGAAGTTATTAATGACTGCCTCATTGTGAAGTTTGAAGGTGACTTTAGTAGTGTCTTGGGGTAATTTACCAAGAGTTGGGTTTTGAGGAAAGTAGGGTAGTGGTCTGTGGTATTATCTGTGATTATGCCTGATTTTAAAGGGGATATGGTGTTGGTCCAGATGTGGTCAAGTAGGGAAACACAGTCTCTGTAACTCTTGTAGGTTTTTTTCGTGGTAGAAAAGCAGTTATCTTTGGGTTTTGTAATTCGAATGTGTGGGTCCTGGTCTTGCAGGAAAATTTTTAATGAATCCCCTGGGTAATAAGTGATCTTGTTCTGCGTGCACATTTATCATATTCCTGGGTTTTTGACAAAATTGGCTAATGTTTGACTGGGGAACCCCTGTAATGTTTATCACTGTGAGAGGTTTTTTGGGGTTTTTTGGATTTGAATTTAGCTATTAATTTCCCCTGTTCACCCTTGTGCAAGATTAGTGCTTTCTTGTTGGTCTGAAAGTAATAGCTGTGCCACCCCCTTTTTGGGTCGGGCCCTACATTTGGTATGTCTGTGTAACCAGGAATGGCATAGACATCTGTATTATCGGTTTAGCCGGGTTCATTTAGTGTAATGAGGACTTTTGGCATGCAAGGGAAATTTAGTAATGTATGAGGGGGAAATGCTTGTTTAAAGACTGATTTGTAGTTAAAGACTTATGTTGTTGTTAGTTTTGAGGAGTGCCTTTTGATTTTCTGCTGGTAGTAATCAGTAACTTTTTGATTCATTTAAAAGTCATTAAAAAAGAGGTTGGTATCAGGTCAATGTTTAATCAAAGATTTGTATAAATCATATTGAATAAAGTAAAAAACAAAGTAAATGTCTAAAGAAAAAAATAGCCCCTAAATTTTTTAACAAAATGTAAAAATAAGAGCAAGGTAGTTTTTTTTTTTTTTTAAAGCAAAATAAAGGAGACAAAAAAGGGACTAAAATAAAATTTTGGTGAACAAAAAAAGTGTGATCAAATAATGGGGGCTTTGGGGAAAAAGATATTTGGTATACTTTAAAAGGTATTTTTTTAAAATTAGAATTAGGGAAAAAAAAATATAAAAAGGAAATAATATAAGTTTTTGGGGAACAAAAAGGGAATCAAATAAATGAGCTTGGGAAAATTTTTAAAGGCAAAATAGTGAACTTATTACACTTTAGCACCTGAAAAACACCTTTTATTTTTTTAAAAAATTGTAATAATGATGGGGAGTTATAAAAGCTAAAAAAAAGGGGAAAAAATATAAGTGACTAAAATTAAGTAATGGTAACAAAGTTAAAAAGGGCGATAGTCACTATGAAATTATTGGTTAGGAGTAAGACTGATTTGTAATATTAAAAAGTTTCAGTTTATTGCACAATAAAAAAATAAAAAAAAATTTAGGTAGTTGGTACAGTAGCAAAAGATATTTTGGTACTTGCCCAAAAGTAAATTGGGAAAATACATAATTGCACCACAAAAAAAAGTGACTAAAAAAAAAGAGTTAAACAAAATTAAATGGACAGGTAAAACAATAAAAATATTAATTTGGGGTAAGATTTGATTGTAACATAAAAATTATGAGCAATTAATAGCTAAGAAAGAGTATAAAAAATTTGGAGGGGGAGTTGGCATTAGCTAGTGTGAAAAAAAAAAAATAAAATGCAAATAATAGTAACTAACAAAGCACCCCGTAATATGTATTAAGGGCACTTTTCTAAGTTACAGAAATGTCGCTTTTTTAAGGAAGGTAGAGAAATAGTTTTGTTGAGATTGTTATTGTTGTCCTGTGATGTTTTCCTTACTAGTATTTTTCCCATCTCGCGTGAAACATGGGTGTATTTTGTTTTCCTGTTTAAGTTTTCTCAACCTGAACAGAAGGTTTGGACGTTTTCTTGTTAGATACTCATTTATGTACACTCCATTTTTCATTGTAATTGCTGATTTAATTAGGTCCTTTCTTTTATCGTATGAATGAAGTCGGATCATTAAACTGTGTTTACTTCCTGGTTTTCCTAGCAAACGTGTTTCTTTGATTTCATTGTTTTGCACAATGACTTGTACGTGGTTCTGTATTATCCTGATAGCAGTTTCTTTGCACTGTGCTTGGGTTATGTCACTAGGAATGTGTGGACTGTTTATTATAACTGCATCAGACAACTTATCTTGTTCAGTTTTGTTGTCCTGGAAATCAAGGTATTCATTTAGTCGAGTGTGCATGTTCTGATTCCAGTCCTTGATTGCTTCTTCAACCTATGTAGGTATGTATGTATGTATATGTATATGTATATGTATATGTATGTATATTGTTTGTGTGTATGTATGTATGTATGTATGTATGTATGTATGTATGTATGTATGTATGTACAGTGGAACCTCAGTATACGACCTTAATTCATTCCAGAAGGCTGTTCGAGTGCTGCTCTGTTTGAGTACTGAACAAGTTCTTCCCAACCAATTTTCTGTTTGGTTGGCTGTTATCACTAATCACTGTAGGCCCCATGGTGACTTTATATAAATAATAAAAAAAAAAAAAAAAAAATGCAAAGAAACATGAAATACAGTGGAGCCCCAAGTTTTGGCTGCCCTGAGTATCAGCTGCTTCGAGTTTCAACCGCTATTTTTGGCCACTTTTTTTTGTCCTGAGTTTTGGCCGTTGTCCCGTGTTTCAGCCGGCGTACCAGACCTGTCTGCCTGCCCGTGCCTGTGCACCTCCCCGGGCAGGCATCCTGAACTAGTCTAGCTTTGTTTATCCTTAAGTGAACATTACCCTGCATGCTCATCGAAACATTTCACAATAAATTCATTGTGTTTAGTGCTTGTTTATTGATTGTGACTGTGAAATAAGCCACCATGGGCCCAAAGAAACTTCATAGTGGCAGTGAGGTAGTGGTTGAGGCAGTGATGGAGGAAGTGGTGGAGGAAGTGGTAGAGGCAGTGGTGGAGGCAGTGGTGGAGGCAGTGGTTGAGGCAGTGGTGGAGGCAGTGGTGGAGGCAGTGGTTGAGGCAGTGGTTGAGGCAGTGGTGGAGGCAGTGGTGGAGGCAGTGGTTGAGGCAGTGGTTGAGGCAGTAGTTGAGACAGTGGTGGAGGCAGTGGTTGAGGCAATAATAAGTCCTCCCTCTCTCCTCTTCCTTATCTTCCAGAAGCCAACAAGAGACTTCAATAAAGGTACATAAATGTGATTTTAAATGTTTATTTAAATGTTTATTTATGTATTGTATTACTCATTTAATACTATATATGCATGTTTTAAGTACTATATGTATGTTAAACTATAGTTATTCTTTAAAAAATTTATTTTTTGTGAATATTTTTTTGGGTCTGGAATGGATTAACTGTATTTACATTATTTCTTAGGAAAATATTGCTTCAACTTTTGGCTGTTTTGAGTTTAGGCCTAGCTCCTGCAATGGATTACTGCCAAAACTTGGGGTTCCACTGTACACAGTTTACAGCAAAGTTCTGGCAGGTCGTATATGTTTGGTAGAGTTCTGAGCTTTGTTCGAGTAGGGACCTGGTCACATACCAAGGTTCCCACGATTGACATATAACTTATTATACTAAAAGGGAACCTCTGGTCACAACCATAATTCATTCCAAAACTCTGGTCGCAACCCAATTTGGTTGTGACCCGAACCTCATTTCCCCACTTTGCGTTTTTTTTTTTTTTTTTTTTAGATTTATGCATGCTAGGTTGTAAACTTCATGTTAATTGATTTTTTAAGAGTATTTTTGGGGTTAAAATGGATTATCTAATTACATTTTTTCCTTTTTAGGAAAATTCATTCGGTACCCGAACAATCAGCACTTAACCCCTTCTAGAACGAATTTATTCAAAGTACCGAGGTACTATGTATAATTTTTTCAAGCGCCAGCCATACCCTACCGAGGCGGGGGTGACCTAAAAAAGAAAAATTTTAGTTTTTCTTTTTAGGTCACCGGGCTTTGAATCAACCCTGTAACCACATATGGTGATACAAACACACACACCACACACCACACACACACACACACACCAACACACCACACCAACACACACACGGAAGTTGATGGAAGAATTACTCGATCGAAGCCAGGCAAAAACTAAAAGGGTTTGGGAAGGCTGCAGCCCCTGGTCCAAAAATTGGCCCTGGGTTAAACCCCCCAAGTGCAAAGTCATAAAGATTGGGAAGGGCAAAAAGGCCGCAGACGGAGTACAGTCTGGGGGGTCGGACTACAAAATCACTCAAAAGGAAAAAAATCTTGGGGGGGTATAAACCCGGCACTCTTTGAAACGCCATGAAACCCAAAAAATGCTGCAGCATATGGGCGCCTAGCAAACCTCAGAACAGCATTCCAACATCTTAATAAGGAATCATTCAGGACCCTGTACACCGTGTATATTAGGCCCATATTGGAGTATGCGGCACCAGTTTGGAACCCACACCTAGCCAAGCACGTGAAGAAACTAGAGAAAGTGCAAAGGTTTGCAACAAGACTAGTCCCAGAGCTAAGAGGTATGTCCTACGAGGAGAGGTTAAGGGAAATCAACCTGACGACACTGGAGGACAGGAGAGATAGGGGGGACATGATAACGACATACAAAATACTGAGAGGAATTGACAAGGTGGACAAAGACAGGATGTTCCAGAGATTGGACACAGTAACAAGGGGACACAGTTGGAAGCTGAAGACACAGATGAATCACAGGGATGTTAGGAAGTATTTCTTCAGCCACAGAGTAGTCAGTAAGTGGAATAGTTTGGGAAGCGATGTAGTGGAGGCAGGATCCATACATAGCTTTAAGCAGAGGTATGATAAAGCTCACGGCTCAGGGAGAGTGACCTAGTAGTGATCAGTGAAGAGGCGGGGCCAGAAGCTCGGACTCGACCCCCGCAACCTCAACTAGGTGAGTACAACTAGGTGAGTACACACACACACAGCCAAATGCAAAGTCATGAAGTTTGGGGAGGGGCAAAGAAGACCGCAGAGTATAGGCTAGGTGGACAAAGACTACAGACCTCACTCAGGGAGAAAGATCTTGGGGTGACCATAACACCGAGCACGTCACCGGAGGCACACATCAACCAAATAACTGCTGCAGCATACGGGCGCCTGGCAAACCTGAGAATAGCATTCTGATACCTTAATAAGGAATCGTTCAAGACACTGTACACTGTGTATGTTAGGCCCATACTGGAGTATGCAGCACCAGTCTGGAACCCACACCTGGTCAAGCACGTCAAGAAGTTAGAGAAAGTACAAAGGTTTGCAACAAGGCTAGTTTCAGACCTCAGGGGAATGTTGTACGAGGAAAGGTTGAGGGAAATCGGACTGACGACACTGGAGGACAGAAGGGTCAGGGGAGACATGATAACGACATACAAGATACTGCAGGGAATAGACAAGGTGGACAGGGACAGGATGTTCCAGAAAGGGGACACAGAAACAAGGGGTCACAATTGGAAGCTGAAGACTCAGACGAGTCACAGGGACATTAGAAAGTATTTCTTCAGTCATAAAGTCGTCAGGAAGTGGAATAGCCTAGCTAGAGAAGTAGTGGAGGCAGGAACCATGCATAGTTTTAAGAAGAGGTATGACAAAGCTCAGGAAGCAGAGAGGGAGAGGACCTAGTATGGATCAGTGAAGAGGCAGGGCCAAGAGCTGAGTCTCGACCCCTGCAACCACAATTAGGTGAGTACACACACACACACACACACACACACACACACACACACACACACACACACACACACACCACACACCACACACCCACACACCCCACACACACACACACACACACACACACACACACACACACACACACTGCATTTTTTGGACTGCAAGAAGGCCTTCAACACAGTTCCTCACAAGAGGTTACTGCAAAAGCTAGAGGATCAGGCACACATAACAGGAAAGGCACTGCAATGGATCAGAGAATACCTGACAGGGAGGCAACAACGAGTCATGGTACGTGACGAGGTGTCAGAGTGGGCGCCTGTGGCAAGCAGGGTTCCACAGGGGTCAGTCCTAGGACCTGTGCTGAAGGGATAAACTCAGAAGTGTCCTTGTTTGCAGATGATGTGAAGTTAATGAGAAGAATCAAATCGGACGAGGATCAGGCAGGACTACAGAGAGACCTGGACAGGCTACAAGCCTGGTCCAGCAACTGGCCCCTTGAGTTTAACCCTGCCAAATGCAAAGTCATGAAGATTGGGGAAGGGCAAAGAAGACTGCAGACACAATATAGTCTAGATGGCCAAAGACTGCAAACCTCACTCAAGGAAAAAGATCTGGGGGTAAGCATAACACCGAGCATATCCCCTGAGGCGCACATCAATCAGATAACTGCTGCAGCATACGGGCGTCTGGCAAACCTACGGATAGCATTCTGATACCTCAGTAAGGAATCGTTCAAGACTCTGTATACCATTTACGTCAGGCCCATACTGGAGTATGCAGCACCAGTTTGGAATCCACACCTGGTCAAGCACGTCAAGAAATTAGAGAAAGTGCAAAGCTTTGCAACAAGAGTAGTCTCAGAGCTAAGGGGATTGTCCTACGAAGAAAGTTCAAGGGAAATCGGCCTGACGACACTGGAGGACAGGAGGGTCAGGGGAGACATGATAACGACATATAAAATACTGCATGAGTACAGGTGAGTACACACACACACACACGTGCACACACACACACACACATGCAAAACCATTTTTGATAAATCTTAAATACATAAGATGACATACAGTACCATTATTAATCAGTTCCTGTTTTTCTCCCACACCTAAAGAAAACTCTTGCCTGATAGTTTTGTCAGGATGAGACTCAGACCCTTGCCCTGGAAGTATAGAACTGGATTCTAATATTAATTATTGTTTAAGTATATTATTTGTAATATTTAGAATTTTGTAATCAAAGTTGTGAAAAAAAATACATAAAATTATTTTTGAGAGATAAAGTAATGCATAATAAGAAGGTGGCATACAAAGAATATAATGTGGGAAATAAAATTTACTTAGTTAACAATACTCTCTAATTTACCATCAACTTTAGATGTAGATTTTATAACAGCACCTCTTCTTTGAAAATCCATAATTTCATTTTTGTTGCTATACTCTTGAAGCAGCACAGCAGATTTTTTGCCTTTTAAAGCTCTCTTGGCCAGCAAATTCTCTAATTCTTTAATTCTGTCTTCACAATCTTTTCTTGCCTCCATTAACTCTAATTCAGCAATTTTGTCAAATCCAGATTTTCTAGCTTCCAAATATTCCTTGTAACGGTTTCCTGAACAAAATAAGAAAAATGAAAGTTAACAGATATTGAAATACTATCTTAACGCATTTTTTGTTTTTTCAACAAGTTGGCCGTCTCCCACTGAGGCAGGGTGACCCAAAAAAGAAAGAAAATCCCCAAAAAGAAAATACTTTCATCATCATTCAACACTTTCACCACACTCACACATAATCACTGTTTTTGCAGAGGTGCTCAGAATACAACAGTTTAGAAACACATACGTATAAAGATACACAACATATCCCTCCAAACTGCCAATATCCCAAACCCCTCCTTTAAAGTGCAGGCATTGTACTTTCCATTTCCAGGACTCAAGTCTGACTATATGAAAATAATGCATATGTTTACTATATTTAGGTACATACACAATGTAACAGTACATACATAATGTGATTTAAATATAAGCATATATTACCTATGTTACATAAGAAGGCAGTTATTTGGAAGAAATAAATACAGTAAAAAGAATCAAAGCTGACCCTCAGTTCAATAGGAAAGTGACTCACGTTCCAGATGGGTTAGGTTCCAGACCGCCACCATAAAGCAAATCATAGCTATATTTTCACTTGCCAGTTCATATAAAAAGCTAAAAAAAATGTAAAAAAAAGAAATTTTTTTTTTGAACTCAAAAACCATCTTAAAAGCAAGGCAAGTGCCGGAAATAATAAACATGAATATACATCACTGAATAGCACCCCAATGGAAGCAAGTCCCTTTGTCTGACTTTTTTGGGTTATCTTGGGTAATCTACACATGCTATGTATGATTATTTACGTAACTGTATTTATGTATACCTGTACCTGAATACACTTACTTATTAGTGAAGTGCTCTAAAGCGAGCACCATATTACCAAGGTAAGCATGTATTGTGTTTAGCCGCTAATTTTCTTATGTAAATTCCACAATAATAAGTGGGTTGTGCAATATAGACAGTTATATTCTGGGTAATTAAAATAAAAACTATTTCTACTGACTCCAATCCTCTTTATGTTGGAAAAATTACATAATGAACCTTTTTTTTTTTAACACGTCAGCCGTTTCCCACCGAGGCAGGGTGACTCAAAAAGAAAGAAAAACCTAAAAAGAAAGAAAAAATTTTCGTAATCATTCAACACTTTCACCATCACTCATACATGTTTAAGCTAAAATCCAAAGTGCCAGGCTCATTATTAACCAGCAAAAAGTATACAATATATACAGCATTAATGTTAAAAAAAAAGCCTACCAGGATGGATATAGACTCATTAGAGAACATACAGAGAAGAATGACTAAAATGATTTACTGTGTAAGGAACCTCCCGTATGAAGATAGACTCAAAGCCTTAAATCTCCACTCTCTGGAGAGGCGTAGAATGAGGGGAGATATCATTGAAGTATATAAGTGGATGACAGGCATAAACAAGGGAGATATTAATAAAGTACTGAGGGTGTCGAACCAGGTAAGAACCAGGAATAATGGATTTAAGTTGGATAAATTTAGATTTAGAAAGGACATAGGTAAGTACTGGTTTTCTAACAGAGTTGTAGATGCGTGGAACAGTCTTCCCAGTGGGGTGATAGAGGCTAGGACCTTGGGTAGCTTTAAGAAGAGGACTGGACAAATATATGAGTGGGAGGGGCTGGGTTTGATTGGTGTCATTGGGTACGGGAGTTATTTCTAGGAAAGCTTTAGGTAGTAGTCGTTTTGATAAGGTCCTGCCTCGCATGGGCCAGTAGGCCTTCTGCAGTGTTCCTCCATTCTTATGTTCTTATGTTCTTATAACACCGGTACATAGTTATAGCTATGTAATGCAAGGAAAATCAGAAATAAATTGTTTTACTAAATTAGAAAATATAACAATTGAGCAACAAAAAAAAAAAAAATGACTAAATTAAATTGTTCTATTAATTTTATATATCAAATTAGCTTTTGGAAAATTATATATAAACATAACCCATCACAGAATCGTTATTATTCAATAAATTGCTAAAATATATTTGGTTAAGTCATCATATTTTCATACATCTATAGATTAACTAAAGAAGTATAACTATCTGTATTCCAATAAGAGTATTGTATACTGTACTTTATTTATATATTGTGCTTACTATGTACAGAAGTATTAACGTGTTCATAGACTCGAAGATGACGATCACTCGAAGACATACAGTAAGTTTCCTGGTTAACCGGATTACCTTTTGTACTACCTTTGGCTCTTATTTTTGTTTCATTAAACTTTATGCTCAATATTGAGTTGTATTTTACACCAAACTCTTGTTCAATAATACAAGGCCTCACACCAGCTTTCAATTTGTCAAGAATGGCAATTTTTGTTGCAAATGAAATCTGTCGTCGTGTAATTCTCTTCTGGACACTTTTTCCAACACTTCTTTTTCTATTAGGTGACATAATGAAATCAGAATGGTAGGTGATGTGTCAGTATAAAAAAAATTGAGAGGAGAGTGAATTAAGTTATATATTTTTATATATGAGGTCTATTTAGAAGTTTCTTTCTCTCCAGATGACTGCATGAAATGTAGTGTAAGATAAGAGTGAAACATCACTCTTTTCTTCCTAGTGACTGCCCCTTAAGGGAGGTTCCTTGATGCTGGTGAGGGGCTCTTGATCTAGGGAATTGGATCTGCACTCAGTTCCCTGAATTAAGCCTGAATACCTTCCATCTTCTCCCACAGGTGCTGTATAATCCTATGGGTTTGGCGCTTCCTCATGGCAATAATAATCCTAGTAACTGCACGATGGTGTGTGTGTGTGTTAGGCTATACAATGGTGTGTGATGCTATACAATGGTGTGTGATGCTATACAATGGTGTGTGAGGCTATACAATGGTGTGTGAGGCTATACAATGGCATGTGAGGCTATACAATGGTGTGTGAGGCTATACAATGGTGTGTGAGGCTATACAATGGTGTGTGAGGCTATACAATGGTGTGTGAGGCTATACAAAGCTGTGTGAGGCTATACAATGGTGTGTGAGGCTATACAATGGTGCGTGAGGCTATACAATGACGTGTGAGGCTATACAATGGCGTGTGAGGCTATACAATGGTGTGTGAGGCTTTACAATGGTGTGTGAGGCTATACAATGGCATGTTAGGCTATACAATGCTGTGAGGCTATACAATGGTGTGTGAGGCTATACAATGGCGTGTGAGGCTATACAATGGTGTGTGAGGCTATACAATGGTGTGTGAGGCTATACAATGGTGCGTGAGGCTATACAATGACGTGTGAGGCTATACAATGACGTGTGAGGCTATACAATGGCGTGTGAGGCTATACAATGGTGTGTGAGGCTTTACAATGGTGTGTGAGGCTATACAATGGCATGTTAGGCTATACAATGCTGTGAGGCTATACAATGGTGTGTGAGGCTATACAATGGCGTGTGAGGCTATACAATGGTGTGTGAGGCTATACAATGGTGTGTGAGGCTATACAATGGTGTGTGAGGCTATACAATGGTTTGTGATGCTATACAATGGTGTGTGAGGCTATACAATGGCGTGTGAGGCTATACAATGGTGTGTGAGGCTATACAATGGTGTGTGAGCTATACAATGGTGTGAGGCTATACAATGGCGTGTGAGGCTATACAATGGTGTGTGAGGCTATACAATGGTGTGAGGCTATACAATGGTGTGTGAGGCTATACAGTGGCATGCAACACTGTAATGTTTGAGTTCACAGGTGCTTCAAGACTTGTGGTACTTTGTAGCTCAATGATAGTGTCCTCGGCTAACATCTGAGAGGACCCCAAGTCAAATCCAGGAAGAGACGAGACGTATGGGCAACTCTCCTAGCACCTGCCCCATTACCTAGCAGTGAATAAATAACTAGGAGTTAGCATACTCCTGGGAAGGGCCTGAAACGGATCTCAGATTATTATTATTATAATTAAAAAGAAGCGCTAAGCCACAAGGGCTATACAGAGGCCCAGTGGCCTGGTGGCTAAAGCTCCCGCTTCACACACGGAGGGCCGGGTTCGATTCCCGGCAGGTGGAAACATTTCGACACGTTTCCTTACACCTATCGTCCTGTTCACCTAGCAGCAAATAGGTACCTGGGTGTTAGTCGACTGGTGTGGGTCGCATCCTGGGGGACAAGATTAAGGACCCCAATGGAAATAAGTTAGACAGTCCTCGATGACGCACTGACTTTCTTGGGTTATCCTGGGTGGCTAACCCTCCGGGGTTAAAAATCCGAACGAAATCTCTTAATCTTCTTCTGACTACAAAAGTTGTAGTGTATTGTCACTCTTGCTGTGTTGGTTCATTGGTAATTTAGTTCTCAGTGCTACTTGCTTGCTGAGGTCATCTAGTGTTTCTCTCTCGCTTTAGTCGAAACCGTGAATAAATTTTTATGTGTTTTTATGATGTGAGATGCTTGCTAAAGTTGTCTCATCAGCATCTTCTTCATCACCATCTTCTTCTTTTTGGGTTTATAAAGGCAAGTGACAGGTCGTCTCATCAGTGTTTTGTTGTGGTTGAGGGTTGTTGGTGTTATTGGGATTATTTAGGGCTACCAAAGCTTAACCTTTATTGAGCGTTACCACCCGAGTCCGTGGAATATGGTATTGACCAAATCTGGGCGGAATTCAGATAGGAAAGTTTCCTCCGGAAAAAAAGGAAGGTAAACATTAAATTCCCAACTTAGGTCAGGTGAACTTCAGGCCTAAACACCGGCAGAGCCAGGTGTCTTACTCCCTGAGCAACACGTCTACACTCCACCAACATCAGTGCTGAAGTCCGTGTGGTTAGAGCTTCTTGTTAATAATAATAATAATATCTTTATTTACTACAAGTGCATGTACAAGGTATACAGTCCTAGCTGACAACAATGACATACTACTATATAGAAAGCCGCTTGTTATGCTCCGCATGTCGGGCAAATTAGGTCAGTGTCCCAGGATGAGACCCACACCAGTCGACTAACACCCAGGTACCCATTTTACTGATGGGGAACATAGACAACAGGTGGAAAGAAACACTCCCAATGTTTCTACTCTGGCTGGAAATCGAACCCAGGCCCTCGCCGTGTGAAGCGAGAGCGTTTGCCACCAGGCCACCAGAGCCCATGATGTCGGGATTCTTAAGGCCCATCACTGTGCAAGACGCATTAAGCCCTACTTTCCCGTTCCCAGGGATTAGGAAATTATCTGTACACCCATAAAATGTAGTGTGGATAGAGGCAGGGCCATACACACAGCCATTGCCCGAAATGGTCTACATAACCATGGGCGTTTTGCATGCACAACCAAATGTTACCCATCTCTGTACAAATATTACATCATGTTACCCATCTCTGTACAAACATTTTATCATGTAGAAATAAATCTTTGGCTTTAACTTCGATTTTGAGATAATTTCAATATTTTATTATTTTAAACATGCTAGCTATCTCCCACCGAGGTACAGTGACCAAAAAAGGAGGAAACAACATTCATTAAATCAGTCTTTCCACACAATTTAGATGGCTCTCCTCTTGCTCGCCCCATTCCGTTTCATCCTTTCCAAATGCCCAAACCACCTCAACTCTTCCTCAGCCTTCTGAACTATGCTTTTATTAATTAACTCCACTCCTAGTCTTCACACTCTGAGTTATCTGCATAATATTCATACCATATATCACCCTCAAGCACGACATCTCCACTGCCTCTAGCTTCCTCTTCACTGCATCGTTGAAAATACATTCCTCAAACCCGTAACACAGCGTTAGCATCACCATAATCTACATCTACCTACATCTACCTACATTTCTCTTTATTGCCTAAATGGATAAAGCTATTTGTCTCCACAGATGTCTCACTGCACCAACCACATTTCACACCTGGATTATACCTGGAGAGTGTTTCAGGGGTCAACACCCCCGCGGCCCGGTCCATGACCAGGTCTCGCAGTGAATCAGGACCTGATCAACCAGGCTGTTACTGCTGGCTGCACGCAAACCGATGTACCAACCACAGCCCGGCTGGTCAGGCACTGACTAGGTGGCATTTCAGCTTCCTCCCAAGGAAGTTTTCCCCCGGCCCCCCAACCCATTTCCCATTTTTGGTTTAATAAACCTTAAGATTTCCCCCCAGGGTTTCAACCCCCCCGGGGGGGGCCCTCCCCATTCCCCCAAAAGGTCTCGATTAACCAGGGTTTTGATCAAACCAAAATGTTCCCCTCTCTGCCCCAAAACCGAACCCCTTTTGTCCCAAACAAACTGTGGGAAAAAAACTTTGGCTTTCACCTTTTTTTTAAAAAAATTTTTTTTTTTAAAAATTGCAATCCCCCGGAGGAATGCCAAAAGGGAGTAAAAATTCAAAAAAGCCCCACACTTCGTTTTGTCTCTTTTTTGTCGGCCCCCCGTTTTTTCCCAATTCCCCAAAATTTTCCCTACCTTTCCCAAATTCTTTTTTTTAAATTTTTTCCTAACCCAATTGGGTTTACCCTCTTTTTAAATTCATAATATTTCCCCTCCCCGCTTTCCCCAAGTTAAGTTCCCCAAAAATTTTAAAATTTTTAATTTAAAGTAAAAAGGAAAGTTCCCAAAAATTTTACCAATTCCTAAAATTTTTTTTTTCCCTTTGGGAAAAACCTAAGGGTTTTAAGCACCAAAATTCCACCTATTAAACCAATTTTTTTTAAAGGGGGAACCCCCGGCCCCCCGGTCCCTTTTTAAAGGGTTCCCCATTAATAAACCTATCAATTTTATTGGGGCCAGGAAAGGAAAAAAACCCCCGGCGGTTTTTGCAGAAATTTTCTACCCCCAAAACCCATTAAATTCCCCTTGGAGGGGGAACCAAAAGTCGAGGCCCCACATTTCCAAACCCGTTACGGAACTAATCCCGCCCTTCCCCCCCTTTCCAAAAAATACCCCAATTTTTTTTCCGAGGATTTTTCCCTTTGAAATATAAGGGGTTAAAAAGCCCAACCAAAAATTTTTTTTTTCCTGGTTTGCTTCAAGGGGAAAAGTAAGGCCCGTTTTAAAATGAGAATTTTTTTAAAGGAAAACCATTTTTTCCAACGTTTTTTATGGGAACCCAAGGTTACAAAACCCCTAAGAGGAAAAAGGTTTTTGAAAGAAAAGGGGGGGGTTGGGGCCTTTAAATTTTGGGGTTTCCTTTTTCACAAACTTTTTAAATCCCCAAAAGGGAAAAAAATTTTGGCAAAAAAAGGAAAAGGAACCCAAAAAACCCAGTCATTTGATTTAACCAAGTCGAGGCCCATAAAAACCAACGGGAACAGTTAAACTTAATGCCGGAAAAAAATCCCCCCCTTTCCCCCAAAAATCCTTCTCCGGGGAATTTCCCTTTTTTGAAAATAAAAAGGGGAAAAAACAAAAAAAAATTTTCAAAAAAAACCGAAAGGGAAAAGGAAAGCCCCGGGTTTACTAACCCACAAAAACCCTTTTGACAAAAATTAATTTTAAACCCGGGAAAATTAAAGAGTACAGAGGGGAAAGGAAAGGGGGGGTTTGGGGACAGCGGGCAGGTTAAACGAACCCCTGTTTTTGGGCCCTAAAAAAACGTTTGGGTTTTCATGGTCCCAAAACCACTTTGGGGGTTTTATTCTAAAACCCCCCCAATCCAAACCCCGGGAACCGAACGGGAAAAATTAAATTTTGGCCTTAGTTAAACTTTTTCCCCGGGGGGTTTTTTTCAAAACACCTTGGGAGAAAAAAAATTATTGTTTGGAAAAAAACACCAAATTTTGTTTACACTGTTTTTTAAAACCGGGAAAATTTTCTTTAAACCGCCCCCGGCGGCCCGGGTCGGGTCCCCAAATCCCCTTTAAAACCCTGAACCCGGTTTGCCCCCGGCGGGTGCACCAAAAACCAACTTTTAACCACACCCGGCAATCGGCGCGGGTTTCCTTTCCTCCCACTGAAAAAGGGCCGGGTTTTTTAAGTCAGGTTTGGGGGCCCCTTTTGGGAAAAAGTTGGGCCCCTAAATTAATTGCGGCCCTTTGGGATGACCCCCTGTTTTTCGGGGGAATTGGGGGGCCCCCTGGGGTTTTCCAAAGTCTTTTTTCTTTTTTCAGTTATAAATTGATTTGGGGGAAAGGGGGTTCGCCCCCTTTGGGCCCTTTCCCAAAATTTTTGGGGTGTATAAACAGGGTTTATTCCCTCCTCTTTCCCAAAAGGGAAAACAGGTTTTAAAAAATAAGGGGCCCAAAATTATTTTTCCCCGTTATGCCCCCCTGAAAGGGTTTTGTAAAATATTTTTTTGGAAAATTACTATGAAGATTCATGTTCAAAAAAAGCCAGAGAAAAGGGCCAGTGTTTCACACAAAAATTTATTGAACAAAAAAACCTGGCTAACCTGGGGGTATCCTGACCTAGACTACATCACAACATGGAGCTTTTTTAACTAAAACCCCAAAAGGCTAACTGGACCCCCCGTTAATCAAGGGCTGCCCCCGGGAAATTTGAAGCACTTTTTTAAAGAAGACTTTCAAAAACCTTTTTGGGGGAGCCCTTCCAAAAAGACTAATAAACTAAGTCTGCTCATCAATTTTGTGTCACCAAAGGGATAAAATGGGGCCTTTTTCCTGATGTAAACCTACGAAGATGCTATAAAAAACCCCTCAAGTCTCATATAAAAAACCCCTACAAATAAATCTTTGCACGTTCGCCTTGCAACCGCCCCCAGCGATTGTTAATCCTTAGAAAAAATATTTTCAACCCACTAAAAATTTTTTTGGGTAAGGACTGCCCACCCCCAAGCATGAAGCTGCCCCAGTATTGAAAAGTCCATCAGGATGTTTTTTCAGTGGCCTGCAATCCCCAAATAATAAGGACGTTTTATTGGAGAAAAAAACCCTTTTCGATTTAAACCCTGCCTTTGACCGGGGGCAAGAGCTCTAATTCACCCCAAAAAATTTTCTGTAAAAACATACCATTTCAGCCTTCTCGAGTGGTAAGGGGCTGAAAATTCCCAAACCAAGACTCTTGCAATAAAAGTTACGGGGAACCTCCCTCAGTGACACACAGCAGGAAACGGTTGTTTTCTTTTGGGGTTTTTTCAAGAAAATCCACGCCCCAAAGTGCCCTGCTGGGAAAAAGAAATTTGGGGCCATAAATGCCACAAAAAAGGTCATTTTGGCTAAAGAAATGTCGTGCAATGCACCAACAAGGCTAGTGCCTCCACACTTTCCCAAGTGATAAAGCGACTCAAGAAACAGTGACTTCTGCGGCTATTTTCCAAATTCACTGTAAAAAGGCATTGTGAAAGTATTCATCAAAGGAACAAAAAAAAAGTAAAAGGTTTTTAAATTGAAAAGGCAGCTCAGAGAGTTTCATAAACCCTTAAACTTATTAAAGGGCTCTCCTTGACTCTACATCACTCATCGGGTTTACCTTTTCCCATGCATCAACATCTCTCTCTATTCAGCCCTTAGGGTTTTGTAAGGTTTCTCGAGAAAATTTGGAAAGGGAAATTACCCAAAGTACTTTTAAGCTATTCTGCCCACAACTTTTGCCCCTGTTTTTTTACCCTTGGCCAGACTTTAA